ATGTGATTTTTGTGCATAAAATTGCATTTTTTTATGGCAAAACTGCTATTTTTCGCCCTGGGGGGTTTTCACCCATGGAAAATTTAATTTTTTTCCTCGTTTTTTGCGTTTTTGGCAGCAAATGGAGCGTTTCAARGTGGTGGAGAGGGAAACCAAAACCAAAGCCTACAGCAAAGAGGGGCTGGGATTGGCCCAGAARGTCGACCCCGCCCAGAAAGAGAAGGAGGAGGTGGGGCAGTGGCTCACGGTGAGAAATTCCACATTTTATCCCAAAAAATTCCAAAAAATTCCACATTTTACCCCAAAAAATTCCACCAAAAAATAAAAAATTTAGTTAAAAATGAGATTTTTTGATTTATATCCACAAAAAAAAAAATTATTAAGTGTAGCTCCATTCTGGAAAAAAAAAATTTAAAATTTTTAAAATTAATTTAATTTAGTTCTTTAAAAATATTGATTTTGTTCTCAAAAAAATGGATTTTGTTATTTAAAAAAAAGGATTTTATTCTTTTAAAAAATAGGATTTTATTCTTAAATAATCGATTTTATTCCTTAAAAAATGGATTTTATTGTTAAAAAATGGATTTTGTTCCTAAAAATGGAGATTTTATTCTTAAAAAAATGAATTTTATTCTTCAAAAAATACGTTTTGCATTTAAAAATCCGTTTTTTTTGGTCCAAAAAATCAATTTTTCGCTTAAAAAAATGTGGTTTTTTTCCAAAAAATCACATTTTTTTCTCTGAAAATTCTTTTTTTTGCTCCCAGAATTATTTTTTTGCCTAAAAAATGCCATTTTTATAATTTTTTCTTGCAGAACACCATTGACACCCTGAACATGCAGGTGGATCAGTTTGAGAGCGAGGTGGAGTCGCTGTCGGTGCAGACGCGGAAGAAAAAGGGAGATAAAGATGTGAGTGAGCCCAAAATTCCCAAAATTATCCCAAAATTACCCCAAAAGTGATCCTGGTGTTCCTGAGTTTTGTTGGACGATCCCAAAATCCACAGAAAATGTCCCAAAATCCTTCAAAATACCCCAAAACTACCCCAAAATTACCCCAAAATACCCCAAAAGTGATCCTGGTGTTCCTGGATTTCGTTGGACAATCTCAAAATCCACAGAAATTGTCCCAAAATGCCCCAAATTCTCCCCAAAATCTCATAAAATTGACTCAGATGTCCCAAAATTCTCCCAAATTTCACCAAAATCCCCAAAATTACCCCAAAAGTGACCCTGACGTTCCTGAATTTCATTGAACAATTCTAAAATCCACACAAATTTCTCCAAAATCCCAAAAATTATCCCCAAAATCCTCAAATTCTCCACAAAAATCCCATAAAATTGATCCTGACGTCCCAAAATTCTCCCAAATTCCACCAAAATCCCTCAAATTTTCCCCAAAATCCCCCCAAACTGATCCTGACATTCCTGAATTTCATTGAACAATCCCAAAATCCACAGAAATTTCATCAAAATCCATCAAAATCCCCAAATTCTCCCCAAAATTCCTCAAAATTACCCCAAAAGTGATCCTGACATTTCTGAATTTCATTGAATGATCCCAAAATTCCCTGAAATTGTCCCAAAATCCCTCAAATTTTCCCCAAAATCCCCCGAAACTGATCCAGACATTCCTGAATTTCACTGAACGATCCCAAAATCCACAAAAATTGTCCCAAATTTCACCAAAATTATCCCAAAATCACCCCAAACCACCCCATTTTCTGTGTTTATTCCCATTTTCCATAATTTTTCCCCATTTCCCATGATTTTTCCCCATTTTCTGTGTTTATTCCTCATTTTCTGTGGGTTTTCGCCATTTTCTTGTGCTTTTCCCCATTTTCTCTGGTTTATCCCCATTTTCCAGTGTTTATTCCCCATTTTCCAGTGTTTTTTCCCCATTTCCTGTGTTTTTTCCCCATTTTTYCTCCCACAMTCAGCTCAGGATGGAGWCYCYGGAGCGGCACCGATTCCGGGGATTCCACGGATCCCATTCTGATTTTCATGGATTTTAATTATTTCAACAGGGATTTTTTTTTGATTCTTTATAATTTTAATGAATTTCTGATTGTTTTTTTCCCATTTTTGGCATTTTTTCCCCCAGAAACAGGACCGGATCGAGGCTCTGAAGCGGCAGGTGGAGCGGCACCGTTTCCACGTGCGGATGCTGGA